ATATGCTTAATTTATGATATCCCAACAATTTTTGCAATATATCAAATGATCTCTGGTTAATACAAAAGTGAAGTTGTAATGAATTTTGTTTGGTGGTTTTTAGTTATTAAAAACGGTTAGAAAGCATATCATGACGATTGCATGTTTGTATCAGCTACTCCAGTTTATTATACACGAAATTGCGTACCGGGGACCGGATAGTCGTTGCTTTTTAGTTTTATAGTCACGAGGCCAATCGCAGAGCACTCCAGCACATCCGCTTGCATAATGACTTTTTTGTTAAATTGACAGCAGCAAAACTAAATGGGGCTCGAAATACGTATCCCATGTGGAATGTCCATATTAGGTTCATTATTTTCTTTTCCGTAACAATAATTAGCCTCAAACTATAAACTTATTGTTCCTCTATAAACAGCAAAACACATGATAAAACGCAAAAATAATTTTGATTTTGAAAAATTTTGTTGATTTAAACAAAATTTATATTTACTACATCTATCATTCATATACAACGCATTTGATACAAATAGGAAAATAATAATAGTACATCACTAATAAAAAATCGATTTTTACATATATTTCGCTTAAAAGTTTTGTGTTTCAACGACATCAACTGCAAAATAACTTAAATTTTTATATCATTATCTAGTTATAAACTTCTCTAAAATACGGATACAACTTTATGATGAAAATACCACTCCATTAATTACTGAAAAATCTTACTAATTCCTAACTCTAGGTTTAGACAACATTTGGGTTCTCTTCGTCAATTTATATTTTAATGATTTAGGATTCACTTGAGTTGGATTTTCTTTTACTTCGTCCTTTTTCTCCTCTCGTGGCTGACTTTTTGCCAGTTCTTTAAGTCTATCGGAAGCGTTATGTCGCAAAGCTGCGCGTCGCACCTGGAATGGTTTAAAATCTATGTCCATTTTAGTCTGTGAATTAACTTTTCTTGGTTGATATAGCCTTATAGCCCATGGAGGTGTTATCAATTTTTGTCGATTTATATTCTTAGACTCGGTGTTTTTTTTTTTCAGTAATCTATGAGGTGGCAACTTAGAAAGTCGGTTAGATATTTCTATCATTTTAGCCTTACTTTCTATTTGTTCACGAAAAAATGGCAAAAATGGCCGAAACACTTTTTTTGGTTTAGCTGCTCTCTTGAGCCATTTTACCCGCTCCAATAAATTAGCTGTCGTTGGTCGCCGTGGTTTATCAGACCTATACATAATTCATACATAGATATTGATTATAATTTGATTTTCTACCGTTATTATTTCCCTTAAAGTTTAGAAATTGAAACATATATGTACACATGTACAATTTTCTAAAAATTCGTTGACTTCCCAGCAATATAAAATGCATATATATTTTTTAGTATAATTATAATGTCATATAATTAGGAATTTCCATT